AATACATGCATCTATTAAAGTATTTTCCTATTTCAGCTTTTCAAGCTTGGGAAGGCATATGGTAGGATCTTTGTCTTGCTGGAATATTGTCCGTATGATGAATCTAGTGCACAGATAATTCCTGGTTAACATTAGTTTATTAAATCAGATAATTAGTTAGGTAACATTAGTAATAACATTAGTTTTATTAAATCAGATAATTAGTTAGGTAACATTAGTAATAACATTAGTTTTATTAAATCAGATAATTAGTTAGGTAACATTAGTAATAACATTAGTTTCTAAAATAAGATAATTCCTAGAAAAAATTTGTTTAATAAGTTTATGACTTCGAATTTCACACTATGACTAAGATGAAATAGATTAACCGAATTTTCCAATCAATTTTTTCCTGCAGACGCTTTGTAAAACGTCTACTTGTTCTAATGGTAGAACATTAATCAAAAACATCCCTTTGCTTAAAACTACAGTCAAATCGTTTAAATTTAGGACCAGGGCCAGACATTCATTATTTTTACAACCACCCAAATTATCAGCAAAACGAAAATTATCGATCAATACTTTAAAATTAACAGCAAAACTAGAATTCAATGTGCAGAGGTGTCAGAGATCAATGTTTAATTTTATTAACAACGTTAGCATACATTAAACTGTCACTTTTATCTATATTTGATACTTCTTCCGGTATTAGAAAAGAAGATGAGAGGAAATTGTTTTTTTTTTCAATTAACACAAATTGACCTATTTTATAAACTTTATCAGTGAATTGATTATTAATATCAACATACCTCTGTGAATTTGGGGAGATTCGAATTCTTGTTCTAGTCGAACCTGCATCAATTAATCTTATTTAAATTTTCTAATTTCATTTATAATAGGCAGTGTGTACGAAAAATATTGATTCTTTGTTAACTAGTCACCCGCAGCTAGTTTTTTAATCTTACCTTTTGAGTAATGTTGTCTAATAGGCTGGTATCTATTATTCCTAAAAGAATCGTGCTGGTTATCCCCAATTTTTATAACACATTGTGAGGAAACTTATCTTAAACAGTAGTAGAACGTGGCTATCCATTTCTTCGTTGCGAAGGATACTGTGGCCTATAAATTTCTACTGATTTATTTTTAGTTTCATCTGGCCCATACATTCTAGAGTTTAAGCTTTCAATTTGTTTTAAAACCAATTTGAAAGATTTTGTAAAATACTCCAATGAGGCATCTGTCATTTTTTACTTTTGTGTGAGCTTTTTGGGGTAGAAAATCTGTATTGATTTTTCCACAATTAGATCATATTCCACTGTTTCCGAAGAAGAAGGAATAAAGATCTTAAACTGAGTTCTTAAGCTTCATTTTAGACCCGATACAAAACGCGAATGAATAAGTTTTTTGCTTAAAACCTTCCGAAATTTATTTTCAGAATCTATGTCAAGACAGTCAAAATTATTTAGGATAGGTCAAGTCATTTTTTTAAATCTATGTTAAGACAATTTTGTCTATCTAGGATATGTCAAGACATTTTTGGATTCTATGTCAAGACTGCAGTCTTACAGAAAAATTATCTACCCTTTCAAATTCGAATTGCTAAACTTGCGTAGCGTCCTTTTTCTATTCCCATTTACCATTTGCAAAGTAGGTGGATTCGGATTTTTGTCGGGGTATTTGAAAGGTATCTATTAAGGCTAGTTCTCTAATTGATCGTCAGCTTTTATGGCCGGCAAGCTGTAAAGTTCCACTTGCTGTTAAGTCCTTAATTAGTCCTGACTTTTATTACTTTTAAAGCGACGACCTTTGTGATACACCTTTTCATCCACAAATGGGAATTGGAGTGAGGAACGTTAATTGGGTTCATAAAGGTCCCATAGATAAAGATGTTGAATTGCGCCTTTTTTTCTATTGTGACGGAGACCTCCAGACCGCATTAATCGAAGAATTTTTTTATTACTCTTTCCCCAGCGGTAAATATCTACTAATAATTTATTATTATTATTTACAAGTAAGGATACATTTCAAATTAAAACCATTTACCAATTAATACAATTACATTAAAAGATGTAATGAAAAAAATTTAATTTTAATAATGAATTTACACCTGACAAATATGTCGACACGATTAATAGTCGGGTTGCTTGATGGGATACCTCTAATATCGTGTCGGCCCTCCTTTCGCCCGGCGAAGTGCAGCAACTCGACGTGGCATGGACTCAACAAGTCGTTGGAAGTCTTCTGCAGGAATATTGAGCCATGCTGTCTCGATAGACGTCTATAATTGTGAAAGCGTTGATGGTGCAGGATTTTGGGCACGAACAGACCTCTCGATGATGTCCCATAAATGCTCGATGGGATTCATGTCGGGCGATCTAGGTGGCCAGATCATTCGTTGGAATTGTCCAGAATGTTCTTCAAACCAATCGCGAACAGTTTGGCCCGGTGACATGGCGCATTGTCATCCATAAAAATCCATCGTTGTTTGGGTACATGAAGTCCATGAATGGCTGCAAGTGATCTCCAAGTAGCTGAACATAAGCATTTCCAGTCAATGTTCGGTCCAGTCGCACTAGGAGGACCAAGTCCATGCCATGAAAAAAACAGCCCACACCATTACGGAGCCACCACCAGCTTGAACAGTGCCTTGCTGACAGTTTGGGTCCATGGCTTCGTGGGGTCTGCGCCACACTCGAACCCTACCATCAGCTCTTACCAACTGAAATCGTGACTCATCGGACCAGGCCACGGTTTTCCATTCATCTAGGGACCAACCGATATGCTCACGTGCCCACGAAAGTCGCTGCAAGCGATGTCGTTCTGTCAGTAAAGGCACTCGAGTCGGTCTTCTGCTGGAATAGCCCAAGAAAGCCAAATTTCTCCGCACAGTTCTAACAGACAAGTCCCTTGTACGTCCCACATTGATTTCTGCGGTTATTTGACGCAGTGTTGCTGTCTGTTAGAATTTACGACTCTTTGCAGACGTCGCCGGTCTCGGTCGTTAAGTGCAGGCGGTCGACCACTGCGCTGTCCATGGTGGGATGTTATGCCTGAAATTTCATACTCTCGGCACACTCTTGACACAGTGGATCTGGGAATGTTGAATTCCTAACGATTTCGAAATGGCATGACCCATGCGTCTAGCTCCAACTAACATTCCGCGTTCAAAGTCTGTTAATTCCCGTCGTGCGGTCATCATCACGTCAAAAACCTCTTCTGTGTCCAAAAAGTAAGATCAATTTTCAATGTAAAATTACTTATGACTGACTTAAAATGACTTATTGAATTAAAATTTTTTTCTGTTTTAGGTTGATTGCACTGTCCTTGACATCTGTGTGAAATTTCACGTCAAAATATACATTAGTGTTTGAATTATTCCAGAGATTTTTGAAATATCTGAATTAAATGAGCAAAGAAGTTGCATTAAATTTTGTTTGCGCAAACGTATAGAATGTTTCGGACGGCATTCGGAGAGCATTCCTATATCGAAAAGAAATGTTTACAAGTGGTATAAACAGTTCAAATAGGACAGAGAACGCGTTGAAGACGAAGAGCCCTCTGGTCGACCATCCACCTCAACCGATGACGCTCACGTCCAAAAATTAAAGATTTGGTATTTGCAAACCGTCTATTTATAATTAAAGACTTTGCTGATGATGTTGGAATTTCAAAAGGATAGGTCAATTCCATTTTGGGCCTCAAACGCGTCAAATCTCGATTGATACCGAAAACACTGAATGCGCCAGCTCACACTGCATTGATTCTTCGTGACTTTTTCGCCAAAAATGAAACCCATTCGTTCCACAACCACCATATTCGTGCGACTTCTGGCTTTTCCCTAAACTCAAAAGACCTCTCCGGGGACACCTTTTTGAGTCGATTGAAGAGATTCAACGTGAATCGCCGCGCGCTTCGAAGGCCATCCCTGCCGATGACCCTTTAGCATGCATTGAGGATCGGAAAAAAGTTGGCATAAGTGCATTGTGTCCGGATTACTTTGAAGGCAATTTGGAAGAATAAATAAAGAGTCTTAAAAAAAAATTAATTGTTCTTACTTTTTGGACACAGTAGTATTTATAATCGGGATGTACCGATTTTTCTTGAATTTTATAGAACAACACAAAAAGAAACCACAGACTTGATGCTGCTAAATGACACATAGATCTTTCAATTTTAATTATCAGCAACGTGATTTTATCAAAATTTCAATGAATAAATATCTTAATATAATTTTCCACAGTTTATGATATGTATCTATTAATATTTTGTTAATTATCCGAAAGTATTTTTTGAGTAACTCAATGTGCGTGTTTGGTATTTGTTTGTTTGCAAATTTTCTTGAATTCTTTTATTTTTCCACAAAATTTCGTTTTGTTTTAAGTAAATAATTTGGTAATACTTTGAGAAAATGTTTGTCTTAAAACCTATATTTTAAGATGAGAAGAAATACTCGATTGTTGAGGATTGTAAGCGCATGGGATTCGAGAAAATGAAGTATTTATTTTACGTTTCCGATGCTTATCTGTCTCCATTAAATTTTTTTTGCGCAAACGTATAGAATGTTGCGGCCGGCATTCGGTGAGCATTCCTATATCGGAAAGAAATGTTTAGAAGTGGTATAAACAGTTCAAAGAAGACAGAGAACGCGTTGCAGCCGAAGAGCCCTCTGGTCGACCATCCGTAAAAGGGGACAGATAAGCATCGGAAGCGTAAAATAAATACTTCATTTCTAAAGATCGCTGCTGTTTAAGATTATCCACCATACGAATAACATACATATATCAGATCTTTGCTACATAGTGTTCTTTACGAAAGGTTCTTTGTACTCCAAATTTGATATCGCAAGTTCAATAGGCTGTTTTCCATTTACATCCTCAGGCATAATGGCTTTCCAACCTACTAATTTTTCATATCCATTCCCGGTACACACACATTTTCTTTCTGTCCGACTTTACTTGTTTATATTCAAACAAGGCTTCTACAAATCTCAATATGCTGTCTACAGTGCATTGCAGCCGACTCCATACCATGCTGAATATACCGGTTCTCGTTAGATCACCGAAGTCAAGCATCATTTGGTGCGGTCAGTACTTGGGTGAGGTGACCATCTGGGAGCAGCGTGCCATTGGCATTCACAAATTTAAAGGACCTGAATGGCCGAGTGTCTAGCAGCGCTCTGGCGCTGCCACGGGTTTCGGGTTCGAATCCGGGGGTGCCATAGATGTTTGTAGTGGTTTGGAATCCACAGGAGTCCCGGTCTCCTATGACTGTAAGAGCGTCACGGAGCCAAAGTCAGACTTCTACCTACGGGTGCTCCATCACAACAGAAGCTGCTTCCTTCCCCTTCAATCATGAGTACGTATGGGCTCGTGGGCTTCAGCCAGCCAAAGTGGGATAAGAAACAACAAACACAGTGCATTGCAATTCGTATAGGATTTATTGTTGTGAAGTAGAGAAAATAATGATGCCAAATGACATTCAGTTAAAGTTCTAGTACTCAAACTATTTCCAAGGAGGAATTCAAAGTGAAGTAATGCCAAAAATGTTTCGCTGACACTGTAATTGAATATTCTCCACTTTTAACTACATTAGAAATTTTTTCATATGAGATTATGTAACAAATTGCGTTAATCCGAAAAATTATATTAATTTCTTCCTGGAGCTTAAGAAGAGTATCAGAGCTTTGCCATGCATTTCATAATTAATTCAGATATTTGCCTGTTCCGATATTTTACATGAAATCGAGCGTCGTTTGACAATTCAGTCTCACTTCGAAATGTGCTAACTTTTTTAGGTTTCATTGCATGTTAGTAAGACCTGTTCTGTTTCTATCATTTTTTGTACATAATTTGGCGATGTCTCATATTCTTAAATATCTTATATTAATCAATATTTGTTTGAATAATATTGGAATCAACTCTAGGTTAGCTGGGTTTATTAGAACTTCGAAGAGAATCAAGTCTTGACTTTTCATCAGACAGAGAGTATCAGAAATTGATCCCCGCTCTCACTTGGTTTGGCTCTTTACGATCATTTTGGGCCAGATAACAGGGGACCACAGTTTAGCGTGGATTCCGAACCACTCACAAACATCCATGCCCCCGCCAGTGTTCAAACTTGAAGCCTGTTGTACCAAAGGCCAGAACACTAACCAATTGGCCATCAGGCCGTCCCAGGTTTCATTTATAAATTCCATTCAAATGACAGGCTGGCTTGCACCTTTATATACATTTTTCCGGTGTTGGCTGGTCAGTTAAATGTAATCCTGATTCTTTCACCTATAACATAAATATGGGGCCTGATGGCCGAGTGACTAACGCTTTGGCGTTCGGTGCCAAAGATTTCTTGTTCGGTGCCATGAATGTTTGTAATGATTCGGAATCCACTTTAAACTGTATGTCTCAGTCTAATATGGCCTTAGGTGTAGTGCTGACAACCCTACCCCGTAAAAAGAAAATATCTCCTGTTCAGAAATCTGCCAGTGGGCAGATGGCCTTGGCCCACCAGTGGACTGTTGCTCCAATGATGATCATGATGATAACGTAATTATGATCCGTCTACTTATAAAAATGTCATTTATTAGATATTTTCCATTTATAAAACTCAATTTTATAGAAAAGTGAAGATAATGATATCAAATGGTAATTTACAGACAAGACACTGATTTTTTTTTTTTTTTCATCATGATCGACGGAATTATGATTTATTCCAGTTGAAATAATAAGTTCAACATGAGTCGGAAATAATTCAGTCAGCATGGAATTAGATACGTATTCAGTAGACGGTAAGCGCTCTAATTCGTATTAGTTCCATTGGACAAACCTTTCACGTGCACATATGCAAAGCCAGCGAATATAACCTCTGTATTAGATTGCAAAACCGATATGGGGATGCTTCTATTTCTATGCATGAGATCCGCGCCTCTGAGGGGGAGGGGACGGACGGGGGGGTCGTTGGAGGTGACGCAGATTACCCCTAATGATTTGTATTTAGCCCCATGCATATCGAATGCGAGGAGGAATGAGGAATTGGCAGCACCCGCAAATAGAATTACTTCGCCCAGTTATCAGATGCAGGCATATAATTGGTTTTAGGGTGATTTTTTTAATTTGAGCATGTGTTCGTGTGTGGGGTGTTTAAAGATAGCGTGTTCGCTGTGACAGAATGTCTGAGGATGAATTGTAATGAAAAAAGCAATACTTATTCACTAACATCACTTGAGATCATTGTAAAATATGTTTTATTATAACGTTTTATCATTTGTTAAAACATGAGATTCCCCCTCCTTACTGTCATATTTAATGGTTATCATCAATTTTTCTCAAAACCACTTTCATGAAACTTACGAAGTAAAGAAAAAATCAATGTAATTCGGATTGGAAAAGTTAATTCCATAGCATTCTTGCTGATTGTTATATCGAATGATATATTTAGAATATAAATTACTAGATACTCTTATTTCTTAAGAGGAGGTGCAACTAAATTAGTTTTGTGTTACAAATTAGAAATCTTTCTACAAATAAATTAACATTGAGGGATGAGACAGTTTTCTACAGTGTGACGAACATCCATTGGTAGACTACTCATAGGATGTGCGTCCATTAGATGTTAGAAGGAGACAAATGGCAGTCTCTGCTGTGTTGGAACACCTCGTGGGTAGAAGACTGACTTGGCTCCGTGCCTCTGCAGAAGTGGGAGGGTGTAGTGCCATCTAGAAGGACTTTTTAGGGAATTACCACCTCATTTGCGTATAGTATGGAAGAAAACCCGAAAATTTCCAACAGGTTGTCCGATTAATGAGGCAAAGAGGCTGAACATCCCAAACTCTATGAAGTTCCCTGTTTTTATTATATAGAGTCTACAAGAAAAGCCGTCTCACCGTACTCACCATCGCCGTAAATTGCCACTGAGCCATGAGTTGGAAAGAAACTGCCCGACTAGGCTCAATGGCTACTTGCCTCCTTTAATAACTTACAATGTAACTCATGTCCCTTAGTTGCTCCTAAGCCCAAATAATATTCAATTATAAGCATCGGAGCAATCTTGAATTCTTCAGTTGTGGCATTGTATTATTTAAAAGATTAATTTTTTATATTTATAGTATTTTAGCTTTTTCTTTTTAATTAATGCTACCTCAAAATTAGTACTACATATCCAATTTGTAAATTATATTAAGGTATAATCTTTTCACTGGCAACAGCCCTCCCATGATGGGTAAGGTCGTGTCTGCCTGCTAGCAGAATTCAAGACAGGGAGATATTTTTATTTACTGTAGGGTTGTCAGCCCTACGCCCAACGCTCTACGGTCATATTAGATAGGCATCGATGCTTTAAAGTGGATTCCAAACCACTACAAATATCCATGGCACAGCCGACCCGAATCCGAAAACCTGTGGCACCGAGAGCTAGAGAGCTAGTTACCGGCCATCAGGCCCATTAAGATGTAATTAGTGAAAAATTATAACCTTATACGATTAATAGAAATCGTACAACTAGAGAGGTTTTTTTTTACCACGCCTCTTGGGGGAATCATTGAAAGCGGAACGGATTATTATTTCTTCACAGTCTTTAAATGATTCATCGCTATAGTGAAAAAATTTTCGCGACAATATTAGAATACAAGAAAAACGATTTATTAGTCAGAGAGACTTGCAGTGTGCAACTAATAATTACCATGGTACGGGATTTTTATACAAGAACAAAAATGTTTTGTTCATAATGTCAATAACAGAGGATCTTTACTGTTGCTTTGAATAAGCATAAAGAGAGAGAGGAAATATTTAAATGTGAAATGAGAAATTTATTTCAGTATGATTTGAAGCTGCATGTGTTTATTTTTATCCATCGCCAAATTACATACAATACGCTGATGATTTTTATTGGTAAGAACGAAACAGACAGTTGTTTCTTGCTTTTATCTCCTTGAAGCTTCTGCAAGAAAAGTTGGTCTCATTATAAGTCAAGAGAAAATAAATTTTTTTGATGCAACACAGAGAGTGATATGGATCAATCTCCTTAAAATTAATATATATATATATTTTCTTTTGTATGTGTTCAAAAATTTAAATACCTTCGAACATCATTAATAAATGATAATGACAATAAAAATTTGAGTATATAATAGATCTTAATGGCAAAATAAAAATTCTTATGCGCTAAGTAATCAATTCAAATGAAAAACTTATTAAAATTAAAAACAAACATTAACTTGTATACAAGACCTTCATCAGACCAATCGTTTTGTATGACAGCGAGGGCTGGTCAAATCTGAAGGCTGTTAATTTTTGAAAGGAAAAATTTTTTGGTGCTGTTCGGCAAAACGATATCCACAGAATACAATATCACCATGAAATGTACAACAAATTCAAAGAACCTGATATTGTATAAAAGTTATAAAGACAAGTCGTATTAGATGGCCGGGACACATTTACAGATATAACGACTCAAATCCAACTAATATGTTACTTTTTCAACAATTGGAGGCACCCGAAGAAGAAGATGGCCTCCCGCCATATGGGTTGATTCCATCGAGAGAAATCTAAAGGTCTGGGAGTCAACAGATGGCGATCTATTGCCATGGACAGTGTCAGATAGAGGAAGCTCATGGAGACTGTCTTGGCCTGAAATAGGCTATAGTGTTGACGAAGAAGGATTTTTCTATTTCTAACATTTTGGTTTTTTTACATAATTTTTTAATATGGCTAATAGTTTTTAAACTTCTTACATTAAGCAATATTTGTTTGTATAATACTATAATCAACTCTAGGATAGCTGGATTTATTAGGAATTTCAAAAGAATTGCGTCTCGACTCTTCATCAGACAGAGTATGAGGGTTTCATCCCTGTTTTAACTTAGTCTGGCATTTTAAATGGCCTTTATGACTTGCACTTTTATATATATTTTGCTGGTATCGGCTGATTGGTTAAATGTGATCCTGATTTTCTTCACCTATAATATAAATATGATCAGTTTATTTAGAAAAACGCAACTTCTATTTATAAAATTCAATTTTATAGAAAAAAATAATCACTGAAAATAACGTTAGCTGAAAAGTTTTACACAAATTGAAAGATTTCTTGTCTTGAATTCCGAGATTAATTGAAAAAAACAATTGCACATTCATG